GCAATTTTAAAAGTCATTTTTGTGTAGACTCATGGCTAGGACTTGGAGACAAAAAATGGTCTGAATAACTTAGACACTGTCTTTTCACCTTAAACCAACGAATGAATTTTTATTCTAAAATATCCAAATATCACTTAACTAGGTAATTGCCACATCTACATTTCATTTTTATGCAGTTGCAAAACATTTTTAAAAAGTATATATCTACTGTACATATACACACAGGCTCACATCACACTTAAGTATATACTTTACACATCACACATATACCTTCTATAGCACTTAGCTCATCTGTTCTCCCCTATGACTTTCTCTACAACCTGTGAGATAGGTTTTATAGTATCCTATTTTATGATTAGAAAGGGGAACACAGTGAAGCAATGTGGCTTGACCAAATGCCTTGCAGTTGATCAAGGGTAGAGCTGGGATATCCTGACTCCTTTCCAGTGTTTTGTCTTCTTTACTAGCCTGATGCCTGTGGAAGTGGTATATGCTATAACTTGGTTGCCAAAGTCTGAGATGAAACGTAACCGACAGGCATATTTGAAAGCAACATGGCTAAAATCCAGTTAAAAGTTAAAATCCAGCCAGGCTCAGTGGCTCAGCCTGTAATCCCGCGCCTTTGGGAGGCTGAGGTGAGTGGATTGCCTGAGCCCGTGGGTTCGAGACCCTCCTGGGCAGCGAGACCTCATCTCTACAATAAATCAAAAAATCAGCCAGGCGTGGTAGTGCATGCCTGTAATTCCGGCTACTGGGAAAGCTGAGGCGGAAGGATCTCCGGAGTCCAGCAGGTCTAGGCTGCGGTGGCTGGGAGTGGCCACTGCACTCCAGTCTGGGCAACGGAGTGAGACCCCCAACTCAAAAAAAAAAAAAAAAAAAGTTAAAATCCTGTTGGGCAATTTCTCCCTAACTGACATCAGGAATTGCTGTCACTGCTTTGTCTAGCCACTTTGCAAACAGCGAGGATGTTAGCAAGAACTCCCAGTGAATGCTTCCTATGGGAACAATGCTTGCTTTGGCTAGATTCTGGGTAGCAGTTTTCTAGTGGCGAAGTCTGTAGTAAGACAATCAGGTAACCATGTTCTGACAAACACCTCAGATTTTTGGCACCCACTTTTCTGGCACTGTCTAGGGAAGCACTTTATGCCACTCCATGCTACTTGCTAAGCCAACCTGCTTATCTAACTCTGTCGGGAAATTGATACTACCTTTCTTTCTTTCTTTTTTTTTTTGAGTTGGAGTCTCACTCTGTCACCCAGACTGGAGTGCAGTGGCCGCTCCCGGCCACCGCAGCTTCGACCTGCGGGGCTCCGGCGATCCTTCCGCCTCAGCTTTCCGAGGAGCTGGAAATACAGGCGCGCGCTACCACGCCCAGCTAATTTTTTATTTATTGTAGAGATGAGGTCTCGCCAAGTTGCCCAGGTGGGTCTTGAACCCTCAGGCTCAGGCAATCCACTCACCTCAGCCTCCCAAAGGCGCGGGATTACAGGCTGAGCCACCGAGCCCGGCTATTATTATTATTATTATTATTATTGAGTTGGAGTCTCACTCTGTCGCTCAGGCTGGAGTGCCATGGCATGCTCCAGCCACCGCAGCCTCGACCTGCTGGGCTCTGACGATCCTTCCGCCTCAGCCTTCCAAGTAGCTGGAATTACAGGCGCGTGCTACCACGCCCTGCTAATTGATTTATTGTAGAGATGAGGTCTCGCCAAGTTGCCCAGGCGGGTCTCGAACCCTCAGGCTCAAGCAATCCACTCACCTCAGCCTCCCAAAGTCTGGGATTACAGGCTGAGCCACAGAGCCTGGCAGATACTACCTTTCAAATAGCTCACTTCAGTGGGATCCAGTATGTCCCCTGCAAAGTGCTTAAGGTGGAGTCTGATAGGTTCTGATAAGCAAACAGCTGAGAGAACTTTTAAAAAATGGCCCCTGTTTTTTGCAGCTTTCCCACCACAGTTCCATGGTGCTTGAAATCAGAATGTGGTCTTGAGTTAATGACACAAGGAAACACTTGGTTGCTTGTATTGTCGACCTGGTTTTTATGAACCTCACATGTCTCAGAGTCCATAACACTGTATTTTCCTCTCCACTTCCTGTGCAGGCCTTCCTCTGGTTTGTGGCCTGCACACTTCACCTTGTTCCTCTAAGGAGCCAAGGGTGAAAGAGACTTTTTGTTGCCTCTGCTTATCAATCTCAAGTTTACTTTCCCTAATTTTTAACCTGAATAGCACTTTTCCAATTTGTCTATAGCTTTTCCTTTCAACTCTCTGCTTTTCTAGAAATTAAGCAGGAATTAGTCTCCTTTTCCAAAACTTGCTCTTATAATACCTTTTTTCCTAAAGAGTAATGCTTATAAGATGAACATAAACACATTAAACTTTTCATTGATTTGATGATTTCATAAACCCCAGATTCCTCGACAGTTTGCAGGTTTTTGTGAAAGGGTTTGTTTAAAATCTCTGCTAATCGGCTTGAATTTTCTTCTAAAGGTAGTTACCTACAGTGACTCTTAAAACTAATTCACTAAATGTGCAGTTTGACAACCTTCTACAAGGACTCTGGAAAGTTAAAAAGTCATGGGGATTAGATCTTTATATGGAAAGTATGAAAGCTTTGTGCAGGTAAATACTACTTTAAAAGACCCTACATCTCAAGGAAAGTTGGAAATTTTTGTGGAGACCTATACGTGCTTCTTTTATGTTAGTTAATGCAGTGAAGTTTTTCCCTCCAGATTATACTATATGCACATTGAAACATTCCAAGGATTTTGTTTTAGTTTTCATATACCATATATGTTTTTTATCTGAATAGATAAGCTAGGCATACATTTAAAGGAGATTGTGTCAGTTGCTGATGGGAATTTTTTCTCGAGTTAGTCAGGATCTTATGAAACAGCCCTTGATAGTTTACTAGCTGCAGTTTGTGATAAAATATACTTTAATCTGGGATTAAATGATGGGTGTGGTCCTCCAGGCATGGTGGGGGGACCTGGTGGCTAGATAAAGGGAAACCTCTTATTCTATTCCTGACTTTTCTACAAACTTATATTGTGACTTAATTGAAAAGCTTATTGCCTCTCCTTTAAAAAATGGCAAATTTTAATGTTCCCCCAATCAAGAAATACAATTATAAGCACTTTATTCCTTTTTTTCAGTGCCCTTGAAATTATTAAGCCTGGCCTGGGGGCCTCCTGAGAGAATGGACTGTGTCTGACTCAGTCACTTATTTATCCACAGAGTCCTACATGGTCCCTAGAACATAGTAGGGACTCAATGAATGAAATGCAAGAATGAATGGAAAGGTAGAAACAGAGTCGCATTTAAGTGGCCTAATTGTGTTTTCAGGTATTTAAAGTAGTATTTAAAAAGGGACAGTGACAACACATTTTAAAAAGGAGATAGGTGACAAATATATTTTACACTCCTGAAGGAGGAGGGGTTCAGCCTCTGTCACTTGATCTAGGTTTTCAATTACAGAAGCATTGAGAAGTCCCTGTGGGTGAATAAGGGTGGATCTTTAAGGCATGTTGAAGGCCTGGGCCGCCTGCATGGACATCAATACTCCCACAGAGCACTCTCCATGAAGAAAAGTGTGGGCTTACTGTCTTTTCATCAAAACTCCTAGAATTTGGCTGACTGCCTGGTTTATCCCAGGACATTAGTCAGCCCACAAATCCCACATTTGTTTATTCAGTCCAGAGCAAGTGAATGCTGCCATTCTCCTATCTCCTTTGTTGGTAAATGCTTTGTTAACCTGAATTGAGTTCTGCAACACAAAATGAAGTGACTAAGCTTTTGGGGGTTTCTCCCTCCCAGGTTCTCGTATGAGCAACTAAATCTATGGGCCACAAAACCCCGTGCTGCCGTTTTCCCTAGCGCTGCTCTTTTATTTGGATGATTCCACACTACACTTCATGAAACCAACACCTTCCAGAGTGTGGTTGAACTGGCGCCACCATTAAGAAAAGGAGACTCTCAGATTTTTTAGTATTGTGAGAAAATGTTAGAAGAAACAGGAGGTTAAGTTGATTATTTATCTTCTACCGTACATTTGCAATAGTCATCACCTCGCACCCTCCAAAAGTTTTCTAGCTCTGACTATGTGGGTCTGAAAGGCAGGAAGCAGGAATCTTAAAACAAAACAGTGTGTCTGGATGATCCCACAGTTAATATGTGGTGGATCTGGACTATGAACTGAAACAGAATGTATATTCTTTATCACTAAGTTATTTGTCAATCTACAAATATCTAGGAAGATCTGGGCTTTTTAGTAAAAGTTTTGGGATCTATGTTTCTGAATTTTTAATGATTGTGGAAGAGTGATTAGTTTTGAAAACAGTTGTGAGGCAACACAGTGCAAGACAGAGAAGACACAGAGAATCATAAAGCTCAACATTTTTGTCATAAGTCCAGTTGTTTTTCAGCATGTTACACTTAGCAGCTTGGCAAATAATTCTCATTGTGGAAATTTTACTTGGCTCATAAAATTTTAGCCCTATATTTACCACTGCTAACCTGTTTTGCTCTCTCTTCCTTCCCTTTCTTTCCAGCTCTTAGTCAGAGCTACCTTCCAGATGACTTCTTTCTACTGCTTTACCTTTACCCAGTGTAAGAGAATGGAAATATGTTCTGATGTTTGAAGCAATAACACCTAAGAATGTTCTTATTAACATAACTTCTACTGGAAATACAGTGTGCTAGCATAGAGCATACAAAACAAATAGAGAAACACATATTCATTTTGGAGTTGTTTGCTGTCTTTTATTCCCTGCATCCTCACTGATGTCTTGTAGCTTGCTATTTGCTAATTGTCACAGCCACCAAATGAAAAATAAGGATTACGCATATAACAGAAAAGGAGGTGGTATAGTAAGAAAACACAGGCTTCAGAATCAGGCAACCCTGGATTTAAAAAGAACGTTAATCCAGTGCTTAGCTGTGTGACCTGGGATATTTTACTCACCCCTCTTTTTTTTTATTTTCCAAAAGCAGGATTTATTAAGAGGACAGAGAAACTTCCACAGTGGGAAAGGACCCAAAGGGATTGCCCTACTTACCCTCTTTAAGGCTGACACTCCTAATCTGTAAAATGGAAATAAGAATCATAAAATTGGCTCGTGTGTGTTGTGCACATACTATATGCAGGTGATAAATAGTTTATATGTAGTCTCATTTCATCCTCACAATAATTCTATGAGTTGGGTACTATTATCATTTCTACTTTACAGATGAAGAAATCATCCACAAGGGGAGAAGTTCAGTAACTTTCTCAAGGTCACACAGCTATTATGTGAAGGGACTGGAATATGAATCTCTGCAGTTTGACGCCAGAGTATAGGCTCTTAGTCAGTCATTGTGATATTTGTCTACAAATCTTGAACATGCAAAGTCCATAGGAGGTAAGTGGCATCTATTACTAAATCTGACTTTATAAAGAATTGCAAGGCAATGCTTAAAAGGCCATGAACAGTTTCTTAAGATTTATCACAGTACTTATAGCTGCAACTGGTGATGATGAGTCTACTTTGTGCCAGGCGCTTCTTTTTATAGCAATTCAGTCATTATTAAAGATAATTAATCTTATCTTTATTTTTCTAGTGATAAAACCTAGACTTAAAAAGGCTAAGAAATTGGTTTAGGATTACAAAAATCGTAAATTGATGAAACTGAGAATCAAATTCAGGTCCGTCTTACATGAAAGTCTGTGCTCTTTCTGCTCTGATGCCTGACTTTTGGAAATAATTAAACTCAACTTTATTATTTACCAATTGCATCTGCTATTTTATTTTTTAAACAGTGTTTTTATTAAGGTATAGTTGATAAACAAAAGTTGTATATATTCATGGTATACAATGTAATGTTTTGACATATGTATACATTGTGGAATGGTTAAATCAAGCTAATTAACATATTCATCACCTCACATGCTTATCATTTTTCTTTTGTGGTGAGAATATTTATGATCTACTCTTTTCAGCAATTTTCAAATATTTTACTGCCTGATTTCTAACTCAAAGTTTGTGTAAGGACAGCCTTTGTAGCTTATTTTGAAGTTCAGGGATTATAAAACTTTTTTATTCACTGGGCTTTTGTAACTTTCTGCATAGTTTTTCATACTTACAATCTGGGGAAAGACTGTTTAGACAGTTTTAAACTAGCCATTAGCTCAGGACATATTCAGCCAAAGCATGTACCAGGAGTTTTGCCAGCATTCTCCTACCATCTTTTTTTTTTTTTTGTAGTCTTAAAAAAAAAAACTTAAAAAAAAACTTTGTTTTCTGAGAATAATTACTCCCACCATTTTTCTAGGGCCAGGAATATGTGTAAATAATTCCTGGGCTTGGGTGTAGATGATCCACCAGCTGGTAAACAGAAATCTAAAGTAATAAAAGATATTGTTTTTTGAAGATATTTTTCCATACTTGAGTTCTGTCTTTTTGGATTTGATGCGGTGGAAATTTTTATTGAGCACTTAACTGCATGCGAGACATTCTGCTACATTATGATGAGTTGGGGTCCTATAGACAGTCCAATTCAAATACAAGGAGGATGAATAAACAATACATATAAATACAGTACAAAGCAAAATAAAATTTGGGCTATTGGATATTATGGAAGAAGAGAGGATTTTTTTTTTTTGAGTTAGAGTCTCACTCTGTCGCTCAGACTGGAGTGCAGTGGCCGCTTCCAGCCACCGCATCCTCTACCTGCTGGGCTCCGGTGATCCTTCCGCCTCAGCCTTCCCAGTAGCCGGAATTACAGGCATGCGCTACCACGCCCGGCTGATATTTTGATTTATTGTAGAGATGAGGTCTTGCTGCCCAGGCGGGTCTCGAACCCGTGGGCTCAGGCAATCCACTCACCTCAGCCTACCAAAGGCGCGGGATTACAGGCTGAGCCACCGAGCCCAGTTGAAGAGGGGATATTTTATTAGTGGAGGCAGGAAATGCATTACAAAGTTGATGGCATTCTTGCTGGATCTTGAAGGATAAATAGGGTTTTGATAGGTAGTGCAAAAGAATAATAGGAGCAAAAGCAAAGTGGTGAGAAAGTAGAGGAGAGTATTTCCATGTAGAGCAGAGGCAAGGGAATAAAGGATGGCTAGGGTTACATGGTGAATAACGAGTCACAAAGACACGGTTGACTGTTATCTCCTTCCTGAACCACTGCTTCCTTTGGAGTCACCACATGCTCCTGGCTCTTTGCCAGTCTTACTGGCTACTGTTTCTCAGCCTTCTTTTCTGGCTTCTCTTAAATTGTTATTATTTAAATCTTTTCTTTTTTCTGTTATTTTCTTTTCCCTCCCTCCCTTCCTTTTTTCCTTTGTTGTCCAGACTGGAGTGCAGCGGCACCATCACAGTTCACCACCGCCTTGAAATCCTAGGCTCAAGTAATCCTAGAATTCCTGAGAAGCTGGGACTACAGGTACATATCACCATGCCTGGATAATTTTTTTGTTTTTATTTTTTGTAGAGATGAGGTCTCACCATGAGGCCTAGGCTGTTCTTGAACTCCTGGGGTGAAGTAGTTCGTCTGCCTTAACCTCCCAAAACACTGGCATTACAGATGTGAGCCACCATGGCTTGCCTATCATTTAAGTATTTTTGAATATTATCTACACACCAGTGACCTCTCAACGAGGAACTTTGCCCATGACCCATGTCCTGAACTCCGGACCGTATATCATGCTGTTTAATCAACATCTTAACTTTGATGTCTAAATCTCAGTGTCCAAATGTGAACTCTTGATCTTTGCTTTCCCCCTCTGCTGGAAACCCAGCTCTTCTCCTAGTCTTCCCCATCTAAGTTAATGAATCTGCCACCTATTTAGATGCTTAGGCCCTTACAACTAGGAGTTAGTCTCGATTTTGATTTTTCTTTTGCCCACCATATAATAACAAATTATTCTGAGTTTACCTCGACCTGACTACAAACAGATGACTGCTATTTTTGTTATAAGGCAGTAATATTTGTCTCCAAATGTATACAAATTCCTTTGATAAAATAAATATTAAATTTAAAAGATTATTACAGAGATTCTCTCTTGATTCCTTTCCAGAAGTTAACTCATAAGTTGTTCAGAAGAGTCATATATTCTTCAGTTAATGTGTATGCTAGAAATTTTTTCTCCCTTCTTCTAAAAGAACCTTTACGATCTCTTGCCTTGTAGACCTAGGTACTATGGATGAGATACACAAGCACATGCTCCTGTATATCTGCTATATAGTAACATAACAATAATTATTATCTTTCAAAGCTCATAGTTTAAATATCAAGATTAATTAAAAATTCTGAGCCAGTGAATAGAAGAAGGTGCAGCATCTTGTGTAAAGGATATCTTTGCTGGCCACTCTCAGAAAGACATAAAGATGTAGTTCTAGAGAGATGATATAGTATCAAAGATAGATCCTCTTTACATACTGGTTCCATGGCTTCATGCTCTGTTCTCTTGTAATTTTTCAAGGTAACACCATTTTGGAAGGTGCTCACAAATTGCCATTTATTTATTTATTTTTCCTTTACAGTCATTTCTTCTCAGTTTCCCCAATGAATACCTTTGCTAACATTAGAAGTATAAAGAGAGAAACCAGGAAGATATGTGAATCCAACACAAGACAAGTGAAATTATTAGAAACATTTCCTGGGAGAAGGACACTACTTTGTGTTTATTTGCTTTTTTTTTTCCTGCACTGGATCTTAGCCAAAAGGCCAAAAAATGATTTTGTCTCTTTCTGAATTTGACAGTGAGGGTATCACATAAGCTCAAATGTAAACAGAAAGAGGTTGAATCAGTCAGGACCCAATTATGCTGTGGCAATGAACACTCTTAAAATCTCAGTGGCTTAAAAAACAGCAGATTATTCTCCCTCATGGCATATATCCACCAATGGTTCACAGGGATCTCTGCTTGCTGAAGTCACTTAGGAACTCAGGTTAATGGAGCTTCCACTTTTTGGTCACTATACCCTAAGATTTTTAATTTTTAAAATTTTTATTTAAAAAATGTTGGACAGTCTTGTACCGGTAATTAAAATCTGGTCAGGGAGTGAAACACATTCTTTTTTTTTTTAAATTGCAATTATTGTCCAGAACTAGCCAGATGCCCCCACCAAGCCACGGTTGGAAAGAACTGAAATATTTGTCAAACTGCACCAATGACCATCACAGATGTAGGCGCTCAGTCCAAAACTTCTCTAGGCCTCCCATTTCCGGAACTCTGGGAACAGCAATTCAGATATCTAAAGACATTCTTTCTTTTACTAGCCAAAAAGGAGAGCAATAAATAAATAGATTTCATTTTCATTCATTTATACTTTAAGATAATTGTGTGTTTATAAAATAGTAAGGGTTGAGTATCCTGAATTTAAAAAAAATAAAGCTCTTTAAAAAGTATATAATGAAGCCTGTTAGCAACAGAGACTCACCTGTTAATAGTCTCTAAGTGTCATTAGATAAGAAGTAGTCCTGTGTTTGAAAAAGTACTTTATTTGGAAACAAGAATTAAGAATTAGATAATGATATTTTGTATTGTATTTAAAAATTAGATATATATGTATTTCTTCTAGCCTTTACAAGATGTATAACAATAGTTACTTTATTTCTCCTCTGTATGCTTCAGTTTTCTCCTCTATAAAAGGAGGGAAATAATTACGCCTAGTTTTAGTGTTGTTGTGAAGATTAAATTCATTTATATGTGTAAAATATTTAGGCTTGGGCCTGACATTAAGTACTCAAAATACAGGCTATTATCCTCATCATTATTATTACATATAGCACATTTCTTTTTTTTTTTTTTTTGAGTTGGAGTCTCACTCTGTCACCCAGACTGAAGTGCAGTGGCCGCTCCCGGCCACTGCAGCCTCGACCTGCTGGGCTCTGGCGATCCTTCCGCCTTAACCTTCCAAGTAACTGGAACTACAGGCACACACTACCACAGCCAGCTAAGTTTTGATTTACTGTAGAGATGACGTCTCGCCAAATTGCCCAGGCGGGTCTCGAACCCGCAGGCTCAGGCAATCCACTCACCTCAGCCTCCCGAGGCGCAGGATTACAGGCTGAGCCACCGAGCCCGGCTTCTTCTTATTTTTTATTTGTGTTTTTTGAGTCAGAATCTCACTCTCTTGCTCACACTGGGGTGCAGTGGTACAACCAAAGCTCACTGCAGTCTCAAACTCTTGGGCTTAAGGGATCCATCCTCCTCAGCCTCCCAATCAGCTGGCACTACAGGTGCACATTACCACGCCTGGTTAATTTTTTGAACATTTTTTGTAGAGACAAGATCTCACTATGTTTCCCAGGCTGGTCTCAAACTCTTGGCCTCAAATGATCCTTCCACCTCAGTCTTCCAAACTGCTGGGATTACAGGCATGAGCCACCATGCCTGGCACATATGAAACATTATAATTTAAGGCAAAAATCCTACAGAGAACTCACAAGTCAAAAGATGACCTCTTCATTAGAGAATGAATTTTGAAACAATTCTTTTTTTTTTTT